CCCCCCCCCCCCCCCCCCTGATGGGCTGACAGGTAAACTTGTTGCCGGGCACCACTGATCGCATTGGAGCAGCTTTGGTGAAAAGAAACCAGCAGATCATGGTATCATAAGTGATTATATTTTAAACTATTCTCTCATTACTTTCTGCTCTTTGTGACAAATATTGTTCTGAGTAACTTTTCTGTTAGAGTAGAACTAAATTAGAGAATAGCGGAGAATAAAACGACCTATGCTAGGATCATCAGCTGACTGAAAACGATTTTGGACATTTTCGGCTTACTTTAGTTAACTGTACACATTGGCACCAAACACTCGATCCATGCAACTTTTGTGGTCACAATCTCGTCCACCCGCAATTTTAGCACATTTTCAGTTCTCATACTTCTTTAAATACAAAGTTTTTCACAATTTGTTTGGTTACCTTTGCACTATTCTGTACTGCTAATTTTAATCTTTGAAAGCCGGATACCACGACATTATCCTGAACCGTACCTTCAAGATGAATAATGGAAGTAATGGTCTAAGATAGTGCGAAGGATAGTGAAAACGAAAATTAAAAGAAAACATGGATGTGGATGTGTGTGTGTCGATGCGAGAGCTGACTACAGTAGGTTGGATGGGTGCAACTGCAACTCGTGCGTTCTGCTGCAGATGGTGTGACCTCTACTGCATTCTAACAACGTGAACACTCGTCCGCCTTTAGGTGTGTATTTCGGTTGAACCTGCTTTGCTGCTCTTACTACGCCCTATCTAGGCCGTTTTTCGACGTCACAGCCTCGCTGATGCTATTCTCGGGTGTCATGGATTCATCCCACGGAAAAATCCCAGAAGCTATTTTCATTGTGAACTGGGCTTTTAAGCATCTGTAGTCTTATGTCGCTTGCTGTTGTGGGTGAAGGGACGACAGAATGAGCCAGTCACTTCTCTGTGCTTGTCTAGCTTTTCTGGAAATTTTCTGCATGGCTGAAGATCTGTGAGTGATGCGTCTACTGTATTCTCGAACTCTGCTACATCGTATATGGAAGAGTTAGCCGCAGAGTGATTGATGTCTCAGGAGGTTTATGGGTAATAACGAGATCGAACTATCCTATTCAAGCTAGTTTTTCACCTTTGACATTTGCTGAGCAGTTATTTAGTTGACAGATCAAAAAACTCGTAAAGTCAAAAAAGCAAAAAATCCTTTGAAGGTTTGAACCTGAAAATTCAGTAAGTTCAAGGACTATGTATGACAATTCGTCCATAAATTTTTCCAGAGCTGGGGCTCGATCCGTGTGGGATCTTGTTTCTATTTCACTCTCGAAAATTATGAACAGATTTTCAGGTTGAAGCCCTTATACGTGAACTGGAGTCAAGTTGGACTCCATTACTCGTCCGTGCTACCGTTTACTCGATCCTTGCCAGTTGTTCATGGATCATCTTGAAAGCGTGTTTCTCCTTATTCCGGTATTTCAGCTCATGATGAAGGAAATATTGTCAGTCGATCGTTGAATAGTTCCACAACTCCCCTCTTTTTGATGTTTCTCTTTGGATCTGCATCGAGTCTGCGTTTGATTGAACCTCCGATGTATCTAACAGCTACACTTATCACGTATTTGACATTACATATGCTTACATTTTATGCTGAAAATTTGCAGTTTTGCCACGATTTTGCCTTACAACGGGAGCTAAAAGTTACTCTCACTTTAAGATTTTTGCATTTCTATTATGTTTATTGATAAATTGGTGATTCATCGTCCTTGTGGAAGTGTTCGTGGAAGAAGTGCGAATCATTTTTCTCTGAAAATATAAGGAGATCAAGGTACCCTTCTCCGTCTTCACGAAAACACATTCTGATTTTAAATGAAAATCAAATGCTTGGACCCAGAACGACCCAAAAGGAGCAGCCTAGAGAGCTTCATTCTCTTTATATGAAGCTCGTGTTTGTTATCGCATCATTCATTATTGTTAAAGGCACAGTTCACGTTGAAGATGATTTCTGACATGAGATTTCTCCTTTGGATGAACCTGTGACCCCCAGGGAGAGCCTAGACGACGCTAGCACGCTACCGGGTTGAAAAACGAGGAATATAGAGTGCAATAAGGGCCCTAAAACCGGCTCAGCCAACGTACAAACCCAAAGTGGACGAGTTTTTGAACATTGTAAAAGCTGTGGAGGTTGCACCATTCGCAACGGTAGCCACACATTGCACGTGGGCAGCTTATTGCAGCCTGCTGTATGCAATGGTACGTACATTTGAACATCTCGTCCAAAGACCCTTTACATGTAAAGTCTGTGGTCTCAATCTCGTCCAGCTTCTAACTTTACATCCTTTTCGAGGCTTTATATCTCTCCGAATACACCGATTTCGGCATTTTCTTCGCCACTTCTGCACCATTACTCTTGACTATGACTTCCAATACTCGTTTAAAACTGGTACCCCGATTGTCGTGAACTGTGCTTTCAAGAACAGTAAGCCGGGAGCTTCTTATGTAACATCCTTCATTTCAATGCCGGCAATCTACATCATCTTGTTTAAACCTTAGAATTCCATTCGGCATTTTTGACTTGGAGGTGCTAGCGAGAAGGTAAGAGGGGAATTGATTTTGAAGGATAGATAGGTCAAACACGAAGAGGGGCAACAGTAGAGGATATCTTTCAAGAAGAAAGGCAATTGATGAATTTCGTGAGGAGTCGGCAAAGTAACAGATGTTCTTCACTTTGAAAGAATTTAATCATCCCGTATCGGAGGGATGGACCTCTCGATAAACTCAAGAATCCGATCAGGAGCAGCATGATTTCGATTTTCTGACCAGCCCACCTAACCCGTCGCAGCGCATCGCCGGTTGTACTAGGGTCTGCCCATATTCATCTTCGTATGAAACGGCCGCTTTCTATTTTTCTTCATTTCATATCTTACTTCTGATATGAGGAAAGAAGCCCTAGCTAAGGCTGCCGCCATTTTTGAAAGTAAGCTCCGCAATGCAATATTTTGACTTCTTACTCTTCCTTTCATAATATGATTCATTTTCTTGGTTTATAACTTTCATTTTCCCTGGTTCCACAATTACTCTTACCTGCGCTTTCACTATTAGTTTCCCAGTAAATTTCTTCCAGTTTTAGGGATTGTTCCGCTCGAAACCAATTACTTCTTTTTCAAGCTCTTTGGAGGCATCCATACTTATTTTGTTTTGACCAGACATTT